TTTTATTGACATCCTGTTGCTAAGAAAGATTAGCTAAACTACTCAAGGGATGGGCAGCTATTAAAATTATATTCTTGCAGGTTTAAAATTCAATTTTTCATTTTGTTTCATTCACAGCAAATTAATCTGCGCTCATCACCATTTATGCTATATTTATATTTAGTTGTCTTACCTGACATTTTGTTTATTTTTTATTTTATGTTTATGCAGAGCCCCATTTCCAGAAAAAGTTGGGACACTTTTTGAAATGTAAATAAAAACAATGCAATAATTTACAAATCATATAAACCCACATTGAATTGAAAATAAACCAAACACAAATCAGATGTTGAAACTGAGAAATGTTATTGTTTTATGTCAAATATGCTCAATTTGAATTTGATGCCAGAAACACATTTAAAAAATGCTGGGACAGCGGCATGTTTATCGGCGGTGCAGGGCAGGGAAATAGGTGCGGGATTCCACAGCTAGAAACTCAGGATTTATTAGAGGGGTAAACACACTGTAAAAAATAAAAAGTTGGGAAAACTAAAAAATTTAAGGCAACCTGTTGCGAAGCATTTTTAAGTTCTCAACTTCACGCCCATTTAGTTGCACTGACTTAATTTCCTAAGTTACACTGTTAGTTCTCACAGGGCAGTACTTTAAGTTTCCTCAACTTCACTTTGCAAGCACAATCAAATAGTAAGTGTGATTTTGCTGAGATTGAAATGATAAGTTGGGTGAACTATTATAACCCAAAGAAGAAAAGCAAGTTAGCACAACTGCATGGTGATTGAAGTTGAGAAAACTTAGAAATGCTTTGCAGCTGGTTGCCTTACATTTCTAAGTCTGCTCAAATCCCTCTAAACTTCGTAAGTTTAACGAAAAACATAAAGAATTAAAGGCAATTAATTACATGTTCATCTTAATCACGACAGAGACAACAAATTATTAAATACAACTTTTTATTTCACTCTCCTTTTTGAACATTTTGTATACACACACACATTTATTAACCTTTTTAAATTTAAAGGAATATATAAAGTACACATTTTTTTTAAATGTTCAACACCACACTCCACCTTAAAAGATCACTGCTGACACGCACACACTTCAGCAAGGCACCACAAGAAAGATGTGTGCCCTATTTATTAGGCTAACATATATACCAAACATGCCTGATTGCATATGAGCAGAACTTTTATGTCAAACATTACATCTTTGAACATGTCACAAAAAAGAATTCCTCTCTCACTGGGCATACACAAACACTTCTTTGCATTTAAAAGATCTTAAGGTTACAAAAAAGATAAAGAAATCCTGTAATATCATAATTCTCTGCAACAAAGTCATACAGGTCCAAATAAGAATGCATATTACAATCATGAATATGATAAGGTTTCGCACAAAAAATTAAAATGGGGTGCTTGTTGTGGAATTTGTCTATGTGCTCGAGATAAATGTGACTTCAACGCACCTGGATTTCTGTAAGTGCAAACACACTCAGGATAGAGACAGGGTAATGACGAAGAGCGGCCTTGATAGTGACACAACCTGCAGTGCTTCAGTAGTACATCAGGAGAGGGTTCTCAATTTTGCATAGTTTGCATTGCATTCCAAACCTGAAAGCACACATTTTAAAATGAGAAATGCTTATATTCAATTCATCCAAAAATAACGTATAGCCTAACACTGCTTCAATAACCATAAAGACATAGTCACATATCTATGTAAAAATATTTTAGCATAAATTTTAGGTCTATGTTATGTAGCTGTAATAATACTGTATGGAGAATAAGAATACATATTCATACATTACCCGTAAAATTATACTGACATGATCAGAGGCATAGAAACGATGAATTCTGAACACACAACTGCTACGCTATGTTTGGCGCTCTCCATAGGACATGTTTAGGCATGGCTCAGAGTAGCGCCATCCTCAGAGTAGCATTGCTCCCTAGTGTTCGACTTCAGTAAAAATAGGCTACCGAGCCATCTTTTTTTAATCTTTCCATTACTGTTAAATTCTGCTATTGAGATCATGATCCCTTATCAGAAATACATCTCAGCATCTCAAATATCTGTATTACACTTCAGGCAGCTAACAGAATATTTCTGTAAAATGTAAAGAAATATGATAGCTAATGTTAGTTAGCTTAAGTTAACCTTAATGCTAACATTACCGCGTCACATCTCACGCCAAAATTACCGCGGTCACTTTAATTAAAAGCAAATTATAATACCAGAAATGACATTTATTTATGAAGGTAAAACAGTACCAAAACTCGAGAGCTTGCTAATTTGAATGTGAGAACTTG